ATTGGAACTAGGTCAGCTTCGTGGGAGGCAAGCGCCTTATCTGTTGTACTACCTCTCTAGTCCAAAATGTATTTATTTTTGGTTTTCTGATATATTCTGATCTATTGGAAAGATGGGAGGGATATTTAGTGATTAATAAAACAGGTTATGATTTTGGATTAGTAATGCTGCAAAGAATACTTTTCTTTTGTTTCTTTTTTTTTCTTTTTTTTTTTTTTTTTTTTTTTTTTGCTCACACCTGGTGATGCACAGGAATTATTCCTGGCTTTGCACTCAAGAATTGCTCCTAGTGGTGCTCGGAATGCTGGGATGCTGGGAATTGAACCCGGGTCGGCTGCAGGCAAGGCAAACGCTCTACCTGCTGTACTATTGCTCCAGCCCCCTGCAAAGAAATCTTAAATGAAAATTGTGTAAAGCCAATTTTTCTGAAATTCTTTTGATTGAAACAACAGCTTCATAGGTTTCAGATATGCTTTATTGAAAGTCTATGTACTACACTGTGTTCACCATTTGGAGAGCGCTCAATAGACTGAGTGTAAGCTTTGCATGTAGGAGACTTGAGTTTGGATCTCAGTGCTGCATGGTTTCCCTAGGCCCCCAGGAGTGGCCTCTGAGCTCCTATAGCCCCCAGACATCTTAAGTGGTTGAGATGTCTTGAATTTCTAGTTCCTCACCTTATTTGGCCGTGCCCATCCATTAATTGCTACAGTAACTAAATTGTCATGTTGCTGGTAGATAAGATTTATATAGGGGTGAACTTTTTGATATGTAGGATATTATAATTGTATAACAAACTGGAGTTGACTCTGCAGTCACTTGAGGCTGACCTGTGTTGGTTTCCCTGAGTTGTAACAGGGAAAGATCTTGCAGGGGGCTTAAAAACTAGGTAGAGTTTTCTTTGATTATAAATTTGGCCTTGGCTTTGCTTGGACAGTTGATTTGAACTAGGGAGCTGCTACTAGGCTTCTCCCAATCTTTTTTCATACTCATGCCCTCACTCATTTCATCAGCTGTATTAACTACAGTGGAATCCCTGCTTTTTTAGATTCCTTGTCGTCTCTAATCTTTCTCTTGGATTTTTGATGGTTTTGCTTTTGTTTTTTGTTGGTCCTTTGCAGTTAGAGTAATTTATCTTCATGAACTTACATACTCAGTTCTCCTGTCAGGTCTGGAATATTCTTTGCTATCAGGTCTTTAAGTAAATTCTGTGATCCCTTTTACCTTTTCATCTAGGATGCTTGTTGTTAGGCGAAAAATTGAGATGAGGTATATGTGACCTAAACGTTACTAAGTTGTATAGTGGCATAGAATTATGTACATTAAACTATCTTTAGCCAGAACTCATTCTGAACTCAGACTAATGACTAGCAAAATAACCTAAAATATCCCTATGCCCAGCCTTTGCAAATTTCTCTCTAATTTGACTGTTCTAGACACCCTGTATAATTAGAAAAATAAAATAACCCCCTTTTGTCTGACTCATTTCAGTTAGTGTGTCTTTAAGATTAATTGATGGCGTAGCATGGGCCAGGATTTTCTTTATTAGTAGAGCCGCTGTATACACACATCCCAAATTTGATTATCCATTCAAATTATCCATTCACCTGTTAATGAAAATTTGGGTTGTTCCTTCATCTTTTTAATATTACAATAATACTGCTGAGTTAATTGGTGTATAAGTATTTAATTGAAATCTGTTTTCATAAAATTGGGATATATCTATCCAGAAATGAAATCACTAAATCCTACAACTCTTGGTTTTTTGTTTCAAGTTTTTTTGTACGTGTGGTTTGTTTGTGGTTCTGGGCCCCATTCAGTGGTTCTCAGGGCTTACTCCTGTGACTCTGCACTCAGGGATCACACCTGGAAGTGCTTAGGGGACCATATAGGCTACCAGGGATTAAATAAATTTTTTTTTTGAGGAACCACAACACTGTTTTTACAGTGAACCACCGTTTTATATTCCTTCCAGCAATGCACAGGGATTCTGATTTCTTGCAGCTAATACTTTTAAGTAAATGTTGTCTAATGTATGTGGAGTTCTATTTATGTCCTTGACTTATTTTTGCCTAATGATTGATATACTGTCTTTCCCATTTGCTTGTTGGCTATTTATATATCTGTAAGGAAATCAAATATATTGCCTCTAATTCCTCACATATGCTAGATATTCTTAGATCTATGTTTGAAGGTGTTTTCTCCCATTCTGCATGTTGCCTTTTTGCTCTTAAAGCAAGTATTAACGTATACATAAAAGATTTTCATGGGGGGGCGGTTAGTAGCTCAGCATAAGAACATTTACTTGATGTGTGTGAGGTGCCCCTGGCACTGCAAAACAAAAAAATTTTCAATTTTGACGTAGTTCACTATACTTACTTCTGTGCTCTAGGTTTCATGGAATATTTTCTGTATGAACTTAGATTTTTTAATTTGTTTTGGGACCACCCTTGGGCAGTGTTCAGGTTTTGCTCCAGGGTTTATCCTCAGGGGTCACTCTTTGTGGGGTTTGAACAATTTGTGGTTCTAGGGATTCAGCTTCAGTCAGCCACATAAAAGGCAAATGCCCTACCCACTGAACTATCTCTCCAGAAGGCTGGTTTTTTAAAAAAAGAATTTTTAATTGAATAGTCAATACTGAACTCTCTGTGAGACATTCATAATATTTTATTATGACAGAACTCTTTCATACAGAATTTTTGTTAGATCATTGTAAAAAGATTTGTATTCATGGGTTGTTAATAATAAAATGCAGGATCCGTCCCGTCCGTCCGTCCGTCCGTCCGTCCGTCCCCCCCCCCCCCGGGATATTATAATAGGAGAAGAAGGTGATTACTTGTACTGTCTTGATTTATTCTAAGCTATAAATTTTACTGGTTTCTTCTTTCACATGATCAGTGAATACATCAACAAAAGTGAAAAAAGTCAGTTTTGGGCCCATGCCTGATAATGCTCAGGGATTCCTCTGGCTTTGCACTAGGATTCACTCCTGGCAGTGCTCAGGGGACCATAAAGGATGTCTTACCCTCTGGCCCCTAAAATGAAAAAGTTTTAATTTCATTTCATTTCATTTCATCATCCTGTTATTCGTCGATTGCCTCGAGCAGGCCCCAGTAACGTCTCTTTCATCCTAGCCCTGAGATTATATTCACGGCTCTTTAGGAGAATGAGACCCATCGTTCGTTGTTACTGGTATTTGGCATATTTGGTACGCCACGGGGAGTTTGCCAGACTCTGCCCTGTGGGCAGGCTACATTCGATAGCCTGCAAGTTTGTCCAAAGTAGGAATAAGACAATAAGATGTCATAAAAAAAAAAAGTCCTGTTAAGATGTCGCGCGGCCGCGCGGTTCCGGGATCTGGATTTTATAGTCTCTGAGTCTTGGCCGCTGATGGGATTACACGGCGCCAGGGGGCCAGGTGGTGGGTGTGACCCCCGCCTACTGGAATTTGGAGGATCTGGGTGGAAGATGCTCGACTCCAATTCGAGTAGGCTTGGAGGTCTCGGCCCCGGAACCCGCGTGGCTTTGTCCCTCTGCCAGTACCTTCATGTGTGCGGAGAGTGGTCTCAGCATGGTGGTGGCTGGTCCTGGAGGTCTTCGGCTGCCGTAGCCCTGGTCGGGGCGGGGAGGAAAGCTCAACCCGCTCCCCTCCAAGGGACTCCGGGAAGGAACACCCAGGCGCGGGGGCAGAGACTGCACTCTTCTCGTCCGGGAAAAGTTTTAATAGCTTGGACAAATTTAGCTATGCTTTGAGAATGTATTGGGTTTGTAGAGTTTGTCCATAGGATTGCTAACTGGGATGAAAGAGTAAATGCAGAAAACAGTTCCCTGTATTTTAACGTATTGACTGAGGTGCTGTAATTTGTGTTAATTAAACTATATTCAGATGTGAGCCACCAGTGGTATGCACTGCCATCAGTGTGTTAAAAAGACATCTATATAAGCCATCTGTCTAGTGCCACTAATAGTTGGACCTATTTAGTTATACTTTGAGAAAATGTTTGGTATTTCTGACTCAGGGACTAATAGTCTATTGAGGCAGGTAACATCAACAAAATCACCATAGAGTAGTGGTAAAACATGAGTTACAGTGATAAAAAGATGTTCGTATTTAAGTAGACATGATAAATGCATAAGGAAATTAAGTATATTTTACTTTATGGTGCCATGTTGGTTAAGACCCCCGAAACACATTTCAGTTTGTTGAAATCTGGGGACGAGGGGGTGGAGGAGCACACATCTTGTGGTGTTGTGGGACATTACTGGGGATCTGACTAACAGCTGCCTTGCAGAGCGGGAGCTCTATTGCCGATCTGTAACTCAGGCCCTAACCTTTTTCTGTTACGTTTTGTTTTTGGGTCATACCCAGCAACGCTTAAAACTTAATTCTAGCTCTGTGCTTTAGGATCACGCTTGGTGGGGCTTGGGCATCCATATGAGGTGCTGGGGATTGAACCTGCCTGGGTTGGCCACATGCAAGGCACATGCGTACCCATTGTACTATCAGTGGCACCGACCCTTTTTTCCCCTTAGTTTGATACATCTAAAATGACAGAATATTTCAAAATAACCACTGATAGCAAAAGGAAAGACCATATCTGTTTTTCAGAGTGGAGAAATTATCTTAAATAAACATTAGAATGTAGATATTAATAGCTTAGAGTTTGATCAGTCCTTTCTACTTGTCCACTTAAAGTTGTGAATGTGTGCCAGTTTCAAACAGCCTATTTAAAATGGAAACAGTCACATTTTCCTAGTTAGGTTTGTACCATAGAATAGGCGGTTATAATTCACAAAGGTTTTCTACCAGAGGTCATTAATTTGAAGATGTTTATCAGATACATGAATTTTGTTTGGATTATGGGTTGGGAGAATTGGAATTTATAAAATTGATCGTTCCTGGTGCATGCTGATAAGATGTTTTGTATTTATGCTTTGTGTTTAAGAGTAGTAAAGCTACTATTACTACCTGGTATTATAATTATTTAATTTTTTGCTTATAGGATTCAGTGGTCCCAATTTAAAGGTTATTTTATTTTCAAACTGGAGAAAGTGATGGATGATTTCAGAACTTCAGCTCCTGAACCAAGAGGTCCTCCCAATCCTAATGTCGAATATATTCCTTTTGATGAAATGAAGGAAAGAATACTGAAAATTGTCACTGGATTTAATGGGTATGCACTTAAACTATTTTAAAGGTTTAATCTTTTGCAGAACTTATTTTTTTCTTTAATCTGGTTTTTTGATAATTGTTTCTCCATTAGAGTAAGTTTTATGTCTCTTGTGCCATATGTAATTTATTTTCTGCTTATAAGTATTTTAAAGATTGCTTCCTTTTCTGTTTTAAGGTACGTTTGTTGGTATCAGTGGTGTTTGGACTTTAAAATGGGTATGACAGTAGAAATAAATGTCAGGAAATGTTTTTAAGTTTTTTCTTTCCCATTTTTGTATTTAGTGTTACTAACCTTCAAACTTTGTACAGAACCTGTATCTCACTGAAATAAGTAATACTTCTTTTCTTTTAAAATGAAAATAATATTTATGAAAGTATTCTACTTGGTGACAAGGTTTCTTCAGCATCAAGTAATAACCATTTTTAGTAGTTTGTACACTGAAAAGATACTCTGCACTAAAATAAAGCTGATCTTTAAAAACGTTACTGTGTGTCTCTGTCATTTTAAGTTAAAAAACAATTAATTTTTAGTATTCACCCTAACCTCCTTACCCCTGAAGAATTATTTGTGAGGTTGAATTGTTCACACTTTAGCATCAGCAATTTGGAGTGTGGGGCGACATGACTAAATTTAATAAGTTATGAATGTTATCCTTGAATTCATATTCAATGATAGATTTTATCTGAAGGGGTTTGGTTGTGAGTGTTTTGATAACATAAACAATCTCATTCTTTAGACATTTAATCACATAGGATTTGCGTATGGTAAGGTAGTGTATATTTCATGGTCTTGATTTTATGTTTGAGAGTTGCATTTTATGTCAAATTCTATGCTTTGGGCTTAGATCTGTTGCTAAAATACTCTTGGAGGGAGAATATTTGGCCATGTTTCTGGGTTACCAGTTAGTTCCCAGAGGGCTTGGGATGGAAAAGAACCATATTTAATCTGTACTCTGTTGTGCTGTTGGAATTATTATTGAACATATTATACATGTTTTCTGTTAGTACTGTAATTTTTAAAAGCATATACACAGAAGTTGTATATTAAAGTATATCTAACACTATATTAGAAGCATATTGTGTATTATTTATTATTGAGTTTAAGAAAAAAATACCTCTTGAAGACATTTGTGAGTAGCATAGACAAACAGAAAGATGACTCTTAAGCATTGTGGGTAACCTTTTTCAATCAGCTATAACTCATTTGAAATTAATCATTAAGGGGAAACAGATCAAATTGTATTACTCTTCTATGATTGTTAAGCTAATTTCCTAGTGATTCTGAAATACCGATTGTGATACTTCTCTAAGTTAAATTGTATTAGACATAGATGGGTTAGTAAATAAATTCAAATTTTTGTAATTTTCCCATTTTTTTCTCTTTTGAACCATACCTTTCACTGCTTGGTTAGGGAAGGAAAGGGCACTACTCCCAGCTCTGTGCTCAAGAATCACTTCTGGCCCTGCTCAGGGATGATGTGTTGCTTAGGTTTGAACATGGGCCTTCCATATGCAAAACATACACTCAATAGTGCATTCAGCTCTCTCAAGCTCTAAGGTATTTGTAAACAAATTATGGGTAAAACAAGTAATTTCACTTCAAAAATGATTTGAATAATCAGTTACTAAGTACCTGATTATGCTTTAAACATAATCACTTTTAAAACATTTATATTTTGTAATTAGGACTTCCACTTACTGTGCGATCTCGGCCCATTGATACCTGGATCCCACCTGGGCTTCAACCTGGCAGTGCTGCTGCAGGTGGGGGTGTTGAGGATGGGGAAGAGGGGCATGCTCATACTAGGAATCAAACCCAGAGCTTTGTATATGCCCTTGAGTCACATTTTTGACACTAAAAACTTTTGGGTGTGTTGGGGGCTGGAGACACACCTGGCTCTGCTCAGGGATTACCCTGGCTCTGTGCTCAAGGCCGGCTTGAACCTGGGTCAGCTATGTGTAAGGCACATATTCTACCTACTATGCCATTGCACTTACCCCCAGACTTTTCGGGGGGTTTTTTGTTTGTTTGTTTTGGTTTGGTTTTATTTTTTTAAGGCCACTCCTGTTGTCTTGGGGGACCATATGGAATGCAAGAGGCCAAACCCAGCTCAGCCATGTGCAAGGCAATTGCAATTGCCTCCGCCACTGTACTATTTTTGGTCCTCCAAAAACATTTATCTTTGAATCCTAAGCATGTTGACCTTATTAAAATGTGATTTTTCTTTATCAAGAATGGCAGTTTATGAATCATTTTCTTAATCGGGTAGGCCTAATCCAAATCTTAATACATTTTCTCATTTTAAATTACTCCCCTTTTTGGTATGCTGTTACACCATCGACAGTCTTTAAGTTTTATTGTTATGTTTAGAATGTGCCTAAATTAGTTGCTTTGGAAATTTGCTAAGATTGGTATGTGAAAGAAGCATTTAGTTCTCTTTCAGTAAGCATGTCTTCTCTGTTATACCCCTCCCACTTCTTATAGAATAGATAACCCTTTAAATTACAGAAGTGTTTACTCTTAACATTTAGAAAGACCCTCAGGTCATGGAAATACATAAAAAAAAATCAAAGTTAGTACCATATTGTATTGTTAGGTGTACTTTCCTTTTAGGAGTTTGAAATATTGTTAAATTTAAAGCTGTGTCTTCTGTTTATCTCTTCAACATAGCTGCATTTTCTGCGTTTTCTATTTTACAAACAAGTATTTTCCCTGTTTTCGTTGGGGTGGGTTTCTTAATTTTTTCCTGGGACAGTAATGTACATAGAACATTTTTATCTTCTTGTATTGATGAATATCATGTATATTTAATATATAGAATATTGTTGGTTTGTAGAAATAGAATTGCTAGGTCAGAGATTATAAATACTTTAAAATTTTTATCGATACTGCCAAGTTAACCTCACAGACATGTAGGTGATATAATACTGAAATACTCTGTTTAGATGGGCTTGTGTATAAGTGAAATTTAACAGTTTATGTCTTTCTTGACTCTTGAATTGCAATTTCATGTCCTTTAAAATTGTATTTGTTCTGTGGTTTTCTTACTGGTAAATTCATTTTGTTACCTCGTTTTTGCTTTTAATTAGTAAAAACTACATTAAATGATTTATAGTATCATGAAAAATGTAAAATTATTTTAGCCTATAGTCAGCATATATATTTTTTTGAAAGTGGAAAAATTTCCTCTGAATGATCTTTTATTTACTTTATTTTCTCAACTGTAAAATTATTGGAAAACAGAGCTAATTGCTGTCTTCAAATTGTCTGAAACAGTGAATACTTGAACATGGTAGGTTTTCAAACGTGTTGATTCTTTCGTTTGTTGCGTTCCGTGCCATCGCCAGCTGTACTTAGGGCTTACAGGGATCTCTCTTGGCAGGATTCTGAAAATCAAACACACGAATGAGTGAGTGAATGAATGAGAGGAATAAAAATATGGTTCTATATTTATATTTTGTATAATGGAGAATGATAGGTAGAATTACATTAAGTTGAATGCTTAAGTTTTTTTTAATTTAGCCAAAATTTCTTGTCCTTTTAAAATTACTTTTGAACTTTAAAATTTTATAGGAGAAGATGGATTATAGCTACTCTCCAGAAATGAAGTTACAGTTTCTTAGGTGAGAAACACCAAAAATTAAAATTAACAAAATTAGAAGCTTTAGTGAAACGGTCAGTTAAATGATATCTGTTGCCATTTATCTCCTTTGCAAGGGAGAATAACGAACAAGAGTATAAGGGCTTGCTCAAACCGGGACTGGATTTTTAAAATACCTCCCTTTCATAGATATCATTAATATAATTTAGAAAGTGGTATTATCTGCTAAATAGTTTTATTTCTACAATGGTGTGCAGAGATGGAGCTTTGAAGGATATTTTGCTTGTTTGGGGGCTCCACGTATTAATACTTAGAAGGTTACTCCTCCTGCTGCAGTGCTCAGGGGATCCTGGAGTTGCCAGGATTGAAGCCAGCGTAGCTGTGTGCAGAGCAAGCACTTTACTCACTGTTCTCTCTGGCCTGAGAGCTTGAAGTTGTAAAAGAATATAACTTGCATTCCTAGTAGTTTTTGAAATATCAATGTTTATCTTCTAAATTACTGAGAATGGAAGAATGTGAGTGCAAATCACTTAAAAGTCGTATCCCTCCTTTGGCAATATTAAAATTAACCAAAAAATATAGGAGCAAATTTTATTGAGCAGCATTGTTACTGTCTTCCCGTCAATTTGCTCGAGCGGGCACCAGTAACATCTCCATTGTGAGACTTGTTACTGTTTTTGGCATATCGAATACGCCACAGGGAGCTTGCGGGCGGGATACTCCCCAAAAGGGACGGAGGATTCGAACCCGGGTCGGCCGCGGCCAAGGCAAACGCTCTATCCGCTGTGCTATCGCTGCAGCCCATTTAACAGCATAGTTGTCTAAAATAATGTGGCAATTTTTGAGGAAATTAGGGAAAAGTACCGCCATCATTAGACACTGAAAAATCTTTCATTGTTAGGTCTCAGAGGCAGATATTGTCAGTCAAAGCTATTGAACAGTTACTTTGGTATTGTAGCACTGCCCTCCTGTTGTTCATCGATTTGCTCCAGCGGGCCCAGTAACCTTTCCATTGTGAGACTTGTTACTATGTTTGGCATACCGAATATGTCACAGGTAGCCTGCCGGGCTCTCCAAGAGGGGTGGAGGAATCGAAACGGGTTGGCCTGGTTGGCCGCATGCAAAGCAAACACACTACTGCTCTGCTGTCGTTGTAGTCCTCTAACTTTTTTCTCTCAAATTATTTTAATGGAGATGTTTAACCAATCACGCTTTTCCATACAAACCTTGATATGTATGTTTAGTATGTGTTTGTGCATGATTATAAACATCTCACGTATATTTCTACATTTCTTCACATTCAACACCACCAAAAAAGGTCATATGTGAGCATTTTAAGCTCCTGATCTGGATTATAGATGTGAAATTCCTACTCCTTATGATTATGGTTGTTTTACACTTGGTTTTTCAGAGATGAATGGATTCTAGCCCGTTACTTTGTTCACTTACTCCCTTGACCCAGTTTACTACTTGGTGAATTTTCTGCTCCTTAGTTGGGAGTAATAGGATTTTTGTTTGTTTATTCATAAGCATATTGAATCTATTAAAGTTTTTACTTCCCCTTTTCTACGTTTAGCAGAGTTGGTTGGTTGTCTAAATTAGGAAAAGACATTCAGTGACCCTTTTGCCTTATTCTACTTTCCTACCTTGCCTTGCCTTGTCTGGTGGTGATATGATTTGATATCTGAAATTGAAAGGGTCTAGCAGTCTGATTTTTCTGTCATTTTTATTTGATACAAAATAAGACTGATAGGTGCTTTAAACAATTTTTTGACTTTTGGTCTGTTCCTATGGGTGATGCTTAGAAGAGTTTGTATGGCCTGGCCCCATGCACTGATGGAACTTGGAACCTGGAGCTCCTGCATACACAGTGCTCCAGTCCTTTGTTTTCCTAATTGAATATTTTTAAATTTTAGGTTTTGGACCATGTTCAGTAATACTGAGGACTGAGTGATCCTGGCTCAGTGCTCAGGGGTTAGATTGCTCTGGAGGTGCTGGGGAGTATGTGGTATTGGAATTGAACTCCAGCTCCTGTATGCAAAACATGGAGTCCAGCCCACTGATCTATTTCTCTGTCCCGTTTCCTACATTTCATACCCCTCATTTCACAGTTAACTTTTTAGTAAGCCTCAGAGTTGTCATTAGAAGTAGCCAGAATATACGTGAACATTTATGAATATGCACATGTTGCAAGAGTATTTATATAAAGAGCATTCACAATGGATTAAACAAACCTGAACCCGGTCAACCCTCGATAACTTGAAAGTTTTCTGTTGTTTGTATTTTGGGCCACACTACTGATCCTCAGGGCGTAGTCATTACTGTACTTAGAGGGGCCATGTGTGGTGCTTGGAGATTGTATCTGGCTTGCCTACATGCAAGAAAAGGTGCCTGAACCACTGTACTTACTCTCCCGCCCCATAACTGGAGAATATTTGAGACAATTTTCATCTGAGTATAAGTAGTGTGGGTCAGACCAAGTGATTTGCTTATTTAGGCTAATAGTAATCAGAAAATAAAGATAAAGCACACTTATGCATAAAACTATAGGGGAAAAGTCCGATTTTATGGTTATCTCTAGTTCTTTACTTAAATGGGATTTGTGTTAACTTCTTTCTTTATGGGAAAGTAAATTGATGCGGAGATACAACTGATTTTTTTTTAGAAAATTAGTCTTTGAATGAAGTATACATTGCTGTTGTCCTTTTAAGAGAATGTTGGGTATCCAGCTCAAGGTTCTTAAACATTCAAGGCAAGTTTGTGCTGCTCCAGAGCTGCTCTGGAGTATCCCAAGTTGTTAATCTGTATATAGTTGTCTTTGATATTTGAATTCCTGTAAGTTCTAAGGGTATACAATTTTTTTTAAAGTCAGCAAATGGGAAGGGGTTGCAAACAATTTCTATTGTACTAATGTAAACTGTGATGATCCTAAATCAATGCTAGCTGACTTTCTTTGGAATTAAAAGGAATAGTTTTGTTTTGGGGGCCCATACCTGGCTATGTTCAGGGGTTGCTCCTGGCTCTGCACTAAGGAATCACTTAGTGCAGAGACTTGTTACTGTTTTTGGCATATCGAATACACCATGGGGAGCTTGTGGGTGGGACACTCTCGGTAGCTTGCCCGGCTCTCCAAGAGGGACAGAGAAATCGAACCTGGATTGACCACGTGCAAGGCAAATGCCCTACCTGCTGTGCTACCTTGTATTAATTTAGCTGGTGGTTATATTGGAGAAGATATTTTCAGGAGGTAGAATGAACTGTTCTGTGGGATGTATTTAAATGGAAAGCAAACTCCATGTAATTGCACTGAGCAGATTTTCTGTTTAGTTTTTGTTTTAGGGTCACAATTGACTGTGCACAGGGCTTATTTCTGACTCTGTTCTCAGGATCACTGCTAGCAGTTGGATCTAGGATAGGTGTGGACAAGGCAGACAATTACCCACTATTACTCTCTTTCTCTATTGCCCCATGAGTATTTACTTTGAATTTGTGTATCTATATTCTTACTGAAGACTTGCCCATAAATAATGTTTAGGTCCATGCTTTCTTCCCTGGCAAATGGTTTATTCCGCCTTTATATCTAAGTATGCACAGTTTTAGTTGCATTTACTGGTGTAATTGTTACTACACATTTATCTGCTCCACTACTGAGGTATACGTTTCGGGAGTATGGTGGGGCTCTCGTTTATTTAAAAGGTTAAAAAGTACAAACTGCCTGTATTAGAGACCTTTCATTGAATTGTCATTATATTAAATGTTTTCAGTGGACACTTGTAAGTGCTATTTGGAGTCAGGGAAATGTATTGTGTGACTTTTTAGTGCCATCTGTTGGACATTTTGTAAACTGACTTTGAAAGTTGCTTTGTGAAGGGGGATGTAAACTCATTCAATACTTTCTCCCACCAAAAAAACAGTTGGTTGCAATTTTTGCTTAAGAAATTTACCAAATCTCTAGGGTACATCTTAACGGGATGTTTTAAAGATAATTCTTTTTAAAGCTAGTGCTAGTCTTAAGAAAATACTACTTTGGGGCCAGCAGATAGAAGTGTGCAGGGTACTTGCCTTCAAAGAGGCTGACTCAGGTTTGATCCTCAGCACCCCATATGGTTCCCTGAGCCCACCAGTAGTTATTCTTGAATATAGGGCTAAGAGTAAGCCTCAAGCATTCTCGATGTGGCCCCCAAAACTTTTTTTTAAGGAAGATACAACTATAGGGCCTATGTGACTTGGACGAAAATAATATAATACCTGTTCATTTTTGAGTTAAGTAGTATTTGAAAAATTTTATTATAAACTGCTTAACTGTGAGATAATGAGGGAATGGCATAGGTGACTAGTGAACTAAAAAAAAGACTAGCTGCAGATCTCCCAATAATTCTCTGAATTCCTTTATGGTGGTGGTGTAGTGCATGAGTATAAATTGTATATTGACCATAGTACATGGGAGGATACTTTGTTTAAGATGCTGTCAGTTGAGGCTAGAAAATACAAGTCAGTGGTCGAGTACGTGCTTCCTGTTTGTAAGGCCATGGGGGTTGAAGAAGACAACTCATTTTAGATACAGATGCTGTTAATTATCTATGAAGTTTGGGCAAGTAATTTGTGTATCTTTAATAGAGATTTGTGTGTTGGCTGCAAGTTTCCAGTTATACATCAATTTTAAAGGAATGAACACTGCATACCACATGAGCTTAGAAATTAGAAATTTTGGTGAACCTTGTGCTCTTTTCTGTTTTCAAGATTCTTAGTTTTGACAGTGCTTCACACAGGTTTTCAAAAGTAAGGAAAAGTATTCTGTCTTAGAGATATGAAGCAGTAATAAGGAACATTAAAGAAATTATGTGTTTCTATTCACTTCTAAATTGTGATATGAGGCAGGCATTTCAAATTCAGGGCCTAGTCATTTGGCAGAAAAATAATTTTGTGTCCTTGACATTTTGGGGACTGTCAAGAAAGATGATTCCTTGCCGCTAAGAGATCTAAGATGTTTGGCTTTTTATATAATAAAATTTGCTGTATACTTTGCTAAAATTTGTCTTAAATCTTATGCTGACAACAGAAAAATTCTGATATTAAGAATATGAGAACAAAATGTAGTTCGTCCAAATTGTAAGGTAAACATTGACAGTTTTAAGTATAGTAGTATAGAGAAATGGGGTATATGAGTCCTGACTTATTTTATTACTTAGTATCTGCTTCAAGTAGTTGAGGGAGAGCATTGTATCTAGCTGCTTTTATAAGTAGTAAAGAATATTAACTTTTTCTTTAAGACTGTTAACTCTTATCTGAAGTTTCCCAATTCCCATTACAAGGAAAGGAAGATTTTTGTCGCAAATGACTAATTCAGTTTGTTGTTGGGTCACTCCCTCCCTCCCTCCACGCACCCCTCTAAATTTGTCTAATCTAATACTCATTTGGTGTTCAAGCTAATTTTTGATGAATGGTAACAGTATACAAATATATAAATATTTGATCAAGTTAGCACTAAGGTACTATGAAATATTAAATGTTTTGAGATTGAACTGTAGATTTTATATATAAAGTTGAATTATAGAGCAGAAAACTTAACTTTATATTTTCACTGAAATCATGTCTCAGTTCTATGCAATAACAAAAACAATTGTTTTATTTGAACTCTGTAAAGACTTATGTTCTTAAGAAATTAGCTGTGTTTAAATAAACTAATGATTATTTTTGTTGGCTTTCTTGTAAACTTAATTGAAGTCAGAATGTTAAGAAAAAAAATCTCAATTTGGAACTCTGTTAAGTTTGGTTATCTCCTGTTGCTTTTTAAAGCAAGGAAGGAATTCTTCATTAAATAAACAGATTGGTATGATTATTGTCTTGCCTATTTTTAAGTGACCCTTTTAGTTCCTTCTGTACCTTAAACGTGGGTTAATAGATAAAGCTTTCTTTAAAAAGAGATGTTTCAAATTATCTTGATAATGAATGACCTCAAAATTCATATTCTTTTTCAGTATTCCTTTCACTATTCAGCGACTATGTGAATTGCTAACAGATCCAAGGAGAAACTATACAGGAACAGACAAATTTCTCAGAGGAGTAGAAAAGGTATTTTTTATCATTATTGGAATTGTATTTACATTGTCAAAGATCAATGAGTAAGATTGTTTTAGTGCTTTGAACTCTATTTCTTCGCCTCTCTACCTAAAGTTTCTCCAAATTTATGTTCTGAGTTTCAGAGGCATTTAATGGGAGGTAACAGGACGAGTATAAACCATTTACGCTTAGGGGTTACCTCTTATTAACGTAAAAAACATAAAATATTAACTGGAAGATGTGCGATTAATGTTTTATCTTTAGTCTTGTTTTGAAAAATTGTTTACCCATAAAATTTATTCCTCCCATTTTGGAGTTACAAGACACAGTTCTGGAAAAGCAGTGATGCAGAAACATTTGATGTTGAAGAGAAAGGTGCAGGTTTTAAAATGAGAGAAACACTAGTCTTCTGTGGATGAAAGTAAGTAAGTAAAGTAAAGGGCATAATACTATAAAAACCTGGAAAGTTTGAGAAAGCGTAAGAAAAATGAACTATTCTGAAATGAAGAAGAAAAGACCAAGAACCAAGATTGTATCAGTGGATTGCTTATTTCTTCTGTAGATAATTGGTTCTAAAGCATGGTTAGTTATTTAAAGTTCTAAAACAGAGAAGACCAGGTTTAAGGTGCTTTCCTTGTGTGCTGCTGACCCCAGCTCCGTTCCAGCATTGCACATTTCTCCAACCCCTGAGCTCAGTACTGCCAGGTATCACCATCCACCACCCCCTGCTGAAGACACTCTAAAACAAATGTGATGGGGGGCCGGGGCAGGCTTGCAGTAATCATCTGAAACAAATCATGCTGTGGGTGACTTCGTAAAGAGAGGGCAAGAGGTTGCCTCAAGTAGAGTACTTCTATTGCGCTGCTTGAGGCCACGGTGCTAGGACCTGTAAAGTCAGCTATAAGCTCTTGCCACAGGATGCTCGTGTCTCACCAGCCCATGAGACCATTGTTAGCTGCACCTGACATTCATTTGGTCTGCACTGTGCAAGGACTGGTCCCATCGCCGAGCCCTTAGGGATTCGTGTGCTCAGACTAGAGAGAAGAATTGCTTTTTTGCAGGAAAGGAAAGTCAGTCTCAACTTTTGCCCAGGTTTTCCAGGAATATTGCCTTTCCTCACAGAAAAAAATCTTAGTAGGAGAACAAATCGTGAAGTAAAATCTTTAGAGAAATTTGGAGAAATGTGAGGGAAAAGAAATGACATTAAATAGATGACGGGCTTCTCCAGAGGGGAAAGAGCTCAAATTACACTTCAGGTCTAGATGTAGGTCAGCCTTCAGAATGGTGGAGAATGACCCATGCGCACCTCTATGAAGCTGATTTCATGGTCGGCTTTCCCAGATTGTCCCCACCTGGTTGAGAGCTTGTGTTTTATGATAGATCTTAGAATTAAAAAAACTAGACTGACAAAAATAAATAGCTTAGTAGGATGATATTAAATTTCTGTAATACTTAGTTTATGTTTTAACCAATCTATTACAGTGATTTCTGAGACATTTAAAAAATAAGCTTTACATTGTAGTACATTTTCCCATATTAAGTCACCAAATTTTGTTATTGCAGAATGTGATGGTTGTTAGCTGTGTTTATCCTTCTTCAGAGTAAGTATAGAGATTTTTCTTCTTCTAATATGTATTAAAGTAGGTTGCATTTATTGTTTATGTAATCAAGCATGAGAAGATGTGTTAATACTTAAAGAACCTACTTCCCCTAAGTAAAATAGTATCAATAATATTACTTGACTTTTTTTTGGGGGGGGGTCATGCCTGGCAGTGCACAGGTCTTACTCCTGGCTCTGCACTCAGGAATTACTTCTGGCGGTGCTCAGGGGACCATATGGGTTGCTGGGAATCGAACCCAGGTTGGCCGTGTGCAAGGCAAGAGCTCTACCTGCTCTACTATCACTCCAACCCCCGATAGGGGTTTTTTGTGGCGTGCCACCCGCCCCGCCACCCCCCCAGTAAAAAGACTTGTGCTAGAGATTAAATGACTGTAATCTGAACATTTTATTTTATTATGGCTTTTTGGGTCACACCTGGCGATGCGCTCAGGGGTTACTTCTGGCTCTGCACTCAGGAATTCCTGGCAGTTTTCAGGGGATGAAACTTGGGTTGGTCCTGTGCAAGGCAAACGCCATACCCGGTACACTATTGCGGGTATGGCATCATACTATGACCCCTGAACATTTTTTAAAATGTATGTACTGTTAAGGACTTTTGGTCCTGAGATTCCATTCTAGATACTTTCTTGGGTATCATTAGCGCATTAGATAGACCTCAGATCAGAATACTCCTCTTGATGGGAAAGATTACCAGTTGACAAGATTTGCATAGCAAATTAAGATGTCGGTTTAGGGCACAGATTTAGACATTAATTACATTTCATTTTTTTGTGAGTGGATATTCTGGGGAATACAGGTTGTTTATTAGTGTTCTGGCCTTAAAAATTGGATTCCATTAGTGTGATCACTCTCTCAGAATTGTCCCTTGACGTTGCCAATTCTGGAGATGTGGGTTTGCTGTCTGGTGGAAGCTAATTAGGAGAAGTGAGTATTGCTAGTTTAAGATTAAAATATTTCTTTAATTGGGGCTGCAGTGATAGTATAGTGGGGAGGGTGTTTGCTTTGCATGTGGCTGACCCAGGTTCGAGTCCCTGGCATCCTGTATAGTCCTGGGAGCACCACCAAGAGTGATTCCTCAGTGCATATACATATATAATTCTGTAATTATGCTTTTAATTTTGGTTTGGTTTTGGGGCCACACCCGTGATGCAAAGGGGTTACTCTTTACTCTACACTCATGAATTACTCCTGTCTCCTGACAGTGCTCAGGGCCTCTTACAGGATGCCCAGGATTGAACACAGATTGGCCGCATGCAAGGCAAGCACCCTATCTGCTGTACTATCTCTTCAGCCCAGTTATATTATTTCTTAGAGAATTTTTTTCCTCTTTGATTCTGGGTAGTGAGATCTTATATAAAAAGGTCTTTCTAGACCCATGGTTCTCGCTTTTTTTAAAAAATAAATTGAATTACCATGAATTTCAAAAGTTGCTCGAGTAAAGTAAATAAAGGCCCTCCCGTTGATCATCGATTTGCTCGAGCGGGCCCAGTAACGTCTCCATTGGAGGGAGACTTTGTTGTTATTGTGTTTGGCATATCAAATACGTCACGGGTGGCTTGCCGGGCTCTCTGAGAGGGGCAGAGGAATCGAACTCGGGTTGGCCATGTTGGCTGCGTGCAAGGCAAACGCCCTACCGCTGTGCTATCGCTCCACCACCCTACAGTTCATAATTAAGTTTTAGTCATTCAGTGTTCCAACACCAGTCCTGTTCATCAGTGACCACTTCCCTCCACCACTGTCCCTCGTTTCCCCTCCCACCCAGCAATGCTCAGGGGTTACTCCTCACTCTGCACTCAGAAATCACTCCTGGTGGTGCTCAGGGGACCATATGGGATGCTGGGGATGGAACACGGGTCGCTATGTACAGGGCAAGTGCCCTAGCTATTGTACTATTGTATACTCAGGCCCTGTGGCAGGCACTTTATACTCAGTTTCTGCTGTCTCTTCCAGAGGGACAGCTTCCCTACACCAGTGTCTTACTGTGTCCTTCCCTTTCCCCCACAAGTGGCAGGCTTTCTACTGTAAACCACTTACCTGGCTCATTATTTCTACACTGCCTCTGGGCAGTTGTTATTCCTCTGCTGCTCCTTTTATGAGGGGATGGGGCATACCCAGTGATTCTCAGGGATCACTGCTGGTCTGGCTTGGGATCATACATGGTGCCACGGGTTGAACCCTCGTCAGGGCAAAGCATACTATTGCTATGGCCCCCCTATTTTAATCCCTCTTAGGAGAGCATTCTGATTCTTCTCTCTACTGATTTACATGCAAGACAGCACCCTACCCGCAAGGCAGTCATTCTGGTTCTGTCCCACCTGATTAACTTCACTCAGAATGATACTCTCCAGATTCATTCCTATATGAAATTTCAAAAAATGTGTGCTACAGTATTACGTTGATAACTTAAATTTTAAAGATTTGTAGCATGTAATTCTGTGTATTTTTAAATTTTGTTTTGGGCCACCCTGATGTTTTTATTCCTGGTTCTTGGGCATCAAACAATGACAGGGCTTGATCTGGAATCCTACATGCTGCAAAAGACGCACTGCAACCCTTTGAGCCACTTTCCTACCCTGTAATTTTATGTTTTTCCCCCTTTCTGTTGTGCTCTCTGGGGACTGCACAGCTTCTGGTGTTTACCCGTACTTGGGAGATGTGTGCCAGTGGGCTCACTTGTTAACGGTGCTAAAAATCACATGGCTAACAGGATTGCACTTAACATTATAAGGTGATGCCAGGTATTAAACTCCTGCCCTCCTGCCTATATGGCAGATGCTGTACTTCTGTGCATACATCCCAGTGACCCGCAGGTCCTGATACTACCAGAAATAAAGAACTGAATCATCTGTAATAATTTTTTTTATTTTGATTCCTAATAGGAAAAACAGTTCCAATAGTTTAAATCGAATGAATGGTGTTATGTTTCCTGGAAATTCACCAAATTATACTGACAGGTAAGATTTTTGAGTTAGCTAGATAGATAACCTACTCAAGTACTTGCTATAGTTTCTAATGCTCCATGGGCCCAACAGTGCTGGAAGCCACCGTGATCATAGTGTTCCATGGGGAATCAACATTGGGACTCAATGCCAGACATGCCCTCTAGCCCTGTGAGCTCTCTCTATGGCCCTATCTGGTGGTGCTCGGGGGACCATATGCTGGGTATTGAACCCAGGTTGGCTGCATGTATGGCAAGTGTCCTACACCCTGTACTATCTCTCTAGCCCCTCCCTGTCCCTGCTTCCCCCCTCCCCCAATGAGGATTTTATGGGGGGAGTATGGGGACTGTTACTGAGTCAATAATCCATGGATATGAAATTCAGAATTATAGTAAATATTTGATACTCTTCTGTAAACAAACATTGGGAGGGATGACTGTTTTGGTTTTGTTTGGGAGCCGCACCTGCCAGTGCTCAGGAATTAACTCCTGTCTCTTTGCTTGAGGATCACTCCTGGCCCCCTGGCAGGGCTTGGGGAACCACACATGTTGCCAGGGATTAAAAACCAGGTTAGCCACATAGAAGGCAAGTGCCTTACGTGCTGTACCAGGCTCTGGTGCAGGGAAGGAGTAATGTTTTACAAAAATGGAAAAACAATGTTCATTTGTTTTATATAGGTCTAACATAAATGGTCCTGGAACACCCAGACCACTTAATCGACCAAAAGTTTCTTTGTCAGTCCCTATGACTACAAATGGCTTGCCTGAGAGCACAGACAGCAAAGAGCCAAATTTACAGCAAAATGAAGACAAAAGTCGCAGGTTTGTATGTCATTTATCTCTAAAGCAGAAATTCATTAAAATGATTGCGGGTTTTCATTGTTTATTGAGGGATCGAAGAGGTTTTAGCGCACACACTAAAGATAGACATAGAAAAGGCCTGAAAGAACTATTTGGGGAATAGCATCATAAGCATACTTGTTTTTTCTTACTTTTGAAAGTTTATTGAAAAAGAAAAATCGTGGATGTCTTGAAATTTTGGTAATAACATTATTTGAATAAATTATCATTGTGAATTAGAAGAAAAAATATTTATGCCAGCATACCATGTAACCAGTCATAAAAAGTTGTTGACTAGTTACTTAGATTCATGAAACAGTTTGGTTCCCTTGATAATATTCTCTTGTGTTTTTCTCTGCCCAGACATTGTAAGTGAACTTTTGACACTGAAATGCAATTTTAAAAATTAGAGCATCTTAAAAATGAAAATGTAAGTAGTAAACGTCTTAGTAATGACACTTTAAAACATTTACAGTGACTCTCCGACATCTGACTCAGAAGGTTCTTCAGTGAGTCCTATAAAAAATAAACATCCAGATGAAGATGCTGTGGAATCCGAGGGACATGAGGTAAAAAGACTCAAGTTTGACAAAGAAAGTGAAGTCAGAGAGACAGCCAGTCAAACATCTTCCAGTGAAGTATCTTCAGTTATGATAGAAGAAACAGAAGCAGCATCTTCATCGCGGGACAAAAACAAAGAAAGTAGTTGTACCAGGCAGCACTGTACAGAGGAGGATGAGGAAGAGGATGAAGATGAAGAAGAAGGTATTTAGAGACCATCTGTAAAAGGGTGGAGTAAGGAGATTCTCAGATTCTTGCACTTCATTTTTGCGTGAAAGAATGTAAATATTGGAACTTCTTATAATACTGATGTTGGGCTTTTTTTCACACCTGTTTATAATTGCTGCTGAGTTTCAGGGGCTATGATTTGAACTATAGAATATCAGAATTCATGAAACTTAAGGAGGTATTTTGAAAATAAAATTTAACTACAACAACATTTGCTTATTTTTAGAGTCTTTTATGACATCAAGAGAAATGATCCCAGAAAGAAAAAATCAAGAAAAAGATTCTGATGATGCCTTAACTGTGAATGAAGAGACTTCTGAGGAAACTAATCAAATGGAGGAATCTGATCTGACTCAACCTGAGAAAGATTTACATTCTGAAGTTAGTGAAAATACAGGCCCTGTAAGTAGTGATTCTGATTACCATGAATCAGAAGAATTAGTAGAATCCAATTCCAGTAAAACTGGAAAGATTCTCTCAGAATCATCTATGGAAAATGATGACGAAGCCACAGAAGCCACAGATGAACCAATGGAACAAGACTAACTATTTAGAAACATTTAGATGCAGTATTTTACATACAGTTCTGGTTTTACACTGTATAAAACTTTTATGTAATAAAGTGGACCTTTAGTTTTACAAGAGAAGCAGGTTGTAAAATAAAGTACTTTATGGGATAAATCCTGAGAGTTGTATGTGAGAACTGTGAATATCAGCTCCTCTGGGTCCTGCTTACCGCTGACTTTTTTGGGGTCTGGTCAAATCAGTGGTTTGTGTATAGATTTTTTTTTTAATTTAGAATTAAAGGTTTTAAACTGGAAGGTAATAATTATAATTTTGAAAACCTTTTGGAGATTATCACATTTAGTTTACTACATACGCAAAAAAGCTTTTTGTCTTCTCTCTTTGGGACATCTGTAGCAGTTTTTGTATTTTGGTCATACTTTCAACATTTTAACGTGAATTATAGGGTTTCATGCTGGTTTCCAGATTTTGTTTGGCTATGTACAATGGAACGTTAAGTCATATATACATATATATATATGTGTGTGTATATATATATATTATTCTAAGGGGGGAAATGTTATATTTTTCTGTTTCTATAAGAGATGAATACAGTGGATACTTTTTCTATTGGTAATGATTGAGTTCACCTCTTTCAGAAGACAGTTTCTTTCTCTTCTGAGAATTCAAATAAAATCTGGCCCTTGTGAAACCCTGGAAATGTTAAGTCTGTTGAAATACTAGGTTAAACACATTCCAAGAGATCTGTTCAACTAAAATTCTTTTGTATACTTCTGAGGTGCCTGAGAAAAAGACTTCATTATTTATGAGAAAATGTGCTTTATCTTGGAAATTGTGTTCAAACATTAGCGTACTATTTTGTAGAATGAATGCTTGTAAAGTTGATAGGAGTCCATCTCAGAAGAACCAGGGAGGTTCCTTTTACCTTTTGCTTGCTTTTCTGAACATTGTGAATATTACACATTTCTTCCTAAATTATTCTAGAGTGTGCAAATGTCAATGGTATGAAACACCACTGTACTGGAAGAATTAATATATTACTTAGCAATGTGTACCAGAGCTAAATGACTAAAGCTTTAGCGGTGCATAAAAACCACCATGATTTGTATGACATTTTGAAGTGAATTAAATATTTTTGAACATGCTTCTTTGACAGCCAGTGTTATATTTTTCAGATCAACACAAAGCACAATGATTACTCTAAACTCGATATTTTCAAATTCACATATTTAAAGTCATACAAGCTGCAACTTCCCTGTCAAAATTACTGGCTGCCAAATTTATACCTGTTTCTTCAGCTGTACCTTTTGATATTTAGAATTTTTAAATTTCTGTAGATTTTGTAGAATGTAATGTGTTCACTGCCTTTGTGAAGCGGTATATAATTGTATAATTTCTGTGTGTAAACGAATGCTTGGGCTTTCAATACAGTATTCCTATAAAGCAATAAATATTAATGTTATGAAATATTCGAGTACATTTTTATCAAAATATAAAAGAACCCCTTTTTTTAGTTTCAGATACCTGAAGTCCACAGATGAACTTAAACTGCAAACAGTTTCTGACACTGTATCATAAGATTTGGGGGTGATTGGGGCAGCAACCACAAACTTTGCATTTTGACTACTTAATTGCTGACTACAATTACCAAAATGATTTGGCTCCAGTTATGTTTCTAGAGTATTATACTACTGACTGACTTAACTGTCAGGTTCACAACATCTAGAGAATATATTTATGTTATATCTATTAATTTAATTAAAAACTAAATCTGTTTTATTTTACCCATGTGAAGGGGAAATAATCAAAAATTGTAAATTTAAAAAATTTTTGCAAAAATGTTAAAATTAAGCAGATTTTAAATGTGACATTTGTAGTGACATTTTGTTGAGGGGTATTTTGCCAATGAACAGATTTTAAACACTTAAGTTTAGACATTTTAAAATTTTCTTTAGAATATTTATGAAATTATTATCAATAAACCTATTCTTTAAGAGCCTGTGACCTTTTGATATTCTTATTTTAATAGTGCCATGGACCATTTGTTAAGAGATTTAACTGTTGGTTATAAATTGAAGATTTAGCATCATGATTTTAAGTGTGGTCTGTGGTTTAATTTGTATACTTGCAGTTGCGATTTTTGCAAGGGCAAATATATTTCTTTATTAAATAAAGTACAATAATGGTGAATATACCAATATGCCATAACTGAACTCTATGAGATCTACATTTTAATCTATAGTTTGATAGTTTTAATATTTATTAGCTATTCATGTTAGTCATGGATCAGGCTTGTTGGCTATTGGAACAGAAACTGTAGAATGTTCATGGAATATTTAATTTAAGGTAGAGGAATACTTTTTTTTTTTTTGCCACACCCAGCAGTGCTCAGGGCTTATTCCTGGCTCTGTGCTCAGGGATCACTTCCTGGCAGGCTTGGGGACCATGTGGGCTGCTGGGGATTGAAACTTGTCATCTGCATGCAATCACTGTACTGACTCCCTAGATGGGATACTTTAAACTGGGAAACCTTAATCAATTAGCTGGTTTTAGATACTGATGCCCGTTGGATATAAGTTTTCACAAGCATGAGTATGCATAGGTGCACTTAGACTTTGCTGAATGAAACTGTCAGTTGTAGGAGCTGATTGAGATGTGAATTTTAAAAAGAAATTGTAGATGTATTTTCTGAACATCGGGAGAGTAATGTTAGACCTAAATAAATAACAAGACCTCAGTTGATAAATTATTGGGGGCAGTGTTTTATTTTGGCCTTAGCAAATTACCAGTTAAACTCTGTAGACTCTGAGCCCAACATGAAAGCTTGAAGTGCTTCTGAGGAAATTTTAAATATACGTGTTTTTAGGCCCCTCTTAAAAACTGAAAATCTTTGTACGTTAAAAAAAGTTTACATTCTTAAAAGGTGGAATGGAAATTAGTGGAGAATGCCATATTTTAAATACCGATTATTTAATTTTTTTAGTGTTCCATTGTTAAGTTTTTGTTTTAAATACATCATATTAATGGAATCACCCTGTCATGGGGCTTGGGAAGCTTTGGAAGTATTAAGAACCTTTGGTTTCGAAAGACTTCCTAGCCAGATACTGTATGGGCCAGGCGATAAGGCCTGTTGAAGCAGGATCGCTTAGGATTTTGTTTTCCTGGTGTAGATAGGCATGCATTTATGCGTTTCTGCATTTGTAAAATTTGCAGTTTTTCAAATAATGTAAATGTTATATGCTAGCTTATTTACAAAGGTACTGGGCAGGTTTTAAAGCTGCTACAATGTTTGATCATGAGATGTAATTTGTAAAAATGAAAATGCAACTTGTAGAACCAAAGGATTTCAAAGTTTTGGCTAGTTTCAAATTGTCTTCCAAATAGGAGTCTCTTAAAATCCTTTTGTTTCAATCAAATGGAGCAGTTTTCTTGAGATTAATGCTAGATCATAAAGTGAATACATGCAAAGACCTTGTAATTTAATTTGGAATTATCAGTAGGTATACTCGATATTGGCCTAATAAGAATGTTAGACTGTATTGGTTAGAATACAGCTAATATTTCACAATTTAAAAATACTCAGTACGTACACTTTTCAGAAATAATATTTCAGCCTGGATCCTAGATTACTTGCCAAATGTATTTTCATAATGCAATAAAATGCAAATTAGAAGAATACCTTTACGCGTGGAATCATTTTATTTGCTATAGTGGTTCATACCACCTACAGCTCTCACCTACCTGCTCCCCCAAGATGGTTCAGGGTTCATACACACACACACACACACACACACACACACACACACACACACACACACACACACACCCTGCTCTGTACTGAGAAAATATTTGCTTTGTGACAAAAAAAATCAGCAGTTTTTTGTTATTTCTGCAACATGCATCTGCATTAAGTGGACTGCAGCTCTCTGGCCCTCAGAGCACTTGCCCTCAGACAACCATCTGGTAAGAAATTGCGAGCTGCCATTGAGAGGGTGGGATCTCTTGGCATTTCTGAGTTGTCATGTCCGGTTAGTCGATAGTAGTAGTCTGTTGTTCTGGTCACAGAAAACTGTAAATTAAACATGTTCCTGATAAACAGGTTTTCCTCATCTCTTAACCCGTCTTGCTAAGTGGTATGGCAGAGTAGGAAGATCATTTTCCCATGGCCCAGAATAGATGTTTACTTAACTGTGCTGTTCTCTGCCCGTGCAGGGAGCCCCAGCCAGGGCCATTTTTGTAGTTTGAGTTTGATTTAGATTAGATTTAGGGGGTTAGATTTCTATGTAAACTTTTCTTCTAAATTTAATAAATTTTATATTTAACCCCTATATATAATATAGGGGGATTATACTATACTATATACTATATTATACTATATATAATAACCCCATATATAATACATAACTAAATTTAATAAACACATTTCTTCTAAATTTCATCAATTTCATATCCAGGTCTGCTGACTTAGCTGTTACATGCTTGCCTGTACTTAGCAAGGAAGTGGCTGTAGTTGAAGTCGGTTGGCTTTTGTGTGTACACAGGCTGACTTTGGATTCTGAAGTTTTACTAACTTGACTTTCTGCCTACTTGAAAGATGTTAATTTTATCTTTGAAGACTTTGTGGCTAGGTAAACTCCATTGAATTGTCCTTCAAGATGATCAGAGAATAGGCATCCCACTGCTGCAACACACCTGTGACTATGGCAGTTACTCCTGGCCTCTATCAAACACAACAGGAAATCACTAATCATAGTATTGAAATCAGAACATTAGCAACCTCCTCTTCCCTCCCTACCAAAAAAAAGTTACAACACAGCCTTCTTGAGGGTCAGGGGGAGTGTTTTCCATCAGTCAGACCTGCTTCAGGTGTGCAAGAGGGGTTTAAGACTGGGTCAGTCATTCCTGGCTTAAGAAATCTGTATTTGAGTGGTCAGCCATGAGCAAGGTATGCTGTAGCCTCTGCTACCTTTATTCTGGGTCACATAACTTTCCAGAATTGAGAATACTGTAGACTGGAATGGAAAATTGAATTGATGGTAAAAGTTCCCCTGTGCATTTAGGAGTGCACACTATCTTCCACTTTTCACTTCAGTACCTAAAAGTACAGAAGAGAGTTTTGTTTTTTTATTTGGTTTGGGGGTCATACCCAGTTGTGCTCAGGGCTTACTTGTGGATTTGTGCTCAGGGACCTCTCCCGAATGACAGTACTCAGAGGACCATATGGAGGTGCAGGGGATCAAACCCAGCTGGCTAATATGTGAGGCAAACACCCTATCTGCTGTACTATTGTTCTGGTCCAAGAAAGCCATTTTGCTCTTTAGTAAAGTAAGTAAAAGCCCTCCTGTTGATCATCGATTTGCTCAAGCGGGCCCAGTAACGTCTCCATTGGAGACTTTCGTTGTTACTGTGTCTGGCATATCGAATACGTCATGGGGAGCTTGCCAGGCTCTGCCGGGCGGGCAAGATACTCTCGGTAGCTTGCCGGGCTCTCCAAGAGGGGCGGAGGAATCGAACTCGGTCGGCCATGTTGGCTGCGTGCAAGGCAAGCGCCCTACCGCTGTGCTATCTCTCCGGCCCTTTATTTGCTCTTTAATAGGAATTAAAGTCAGGAGATCAGAATTTATTACAAACTACTTGGTGATTAAAAACAACAGAATTTGTGGTTTTTCGTGATCATGTTTTTGTACTATCAGGAAGAAATTCCAGGTAAAAGTATAGACATGTTTCCAGTATATTGAATAGTTTCCTCTAGAAATGTATAGAATAGAACCCAGAAAATGATAGGTGTGTTGTTTTCAGGTTGGGTCTCATGTAAATACAAAACTTCTGGAATGTGAAAAAATGAATATAGGACACATGCAAATAAATGCTACCTGTTGTCAACTTATGTGGGTCACTGTATTGGAGTGGCCCAGGGGACCATATGTGGTGCTGGGGGTTGAATTGGACCTGGTCACATGTATGTCACTTGTCTTAACCCTTCCTTCTTTCCCTACCACACTTCCTCTCTCCCTCCATGCTTCCCTTAAAGTCCCTTCCCTCCTTCTCTCTCTCCCCAGTGGGGTGTGCAGAGGCACGGTTAATCTCTAATCTTGAACCCGGCTCTTGGTTCGTCGTGTTTCAGGACCTTCATTCAATCCCAGGGTCCATGTCCCTGCAGCATTCCGTGCTGTTTCTCACCTAGATAGCCTGAGTACCTAACTTAATCTTGATGCAGATGATGCAGAAGCGGGGGTAGTGGGTCTCTGTGTGTGCTCGCAATTCCCAGGTTCTTCAGTATTTTCAAGAGTGAAAATATTGAGTTGTTGTGCAGGTTCAAGCTGAGAGTGAACAGAGAGAGCTCAGGATAGGATAGTGACTTTATTAGAGGCTCAGCTCTGAGCACCACAAGTCAGAAGAGAAAGAGACTTGGAGCCCCATTTGCTGAAAGGGTCTCTCTTTTATCCTCTAAAGGTGGGCTACAAACTACATACATTCTTATCAGTGAAACAGATGCAGAGGTAATTGGCAAAAACAATGCATCTTTCCCACCTTTGGTATGGCCTTCAGGCGATCAAAGGGAAAATAGTGTCAGTCTATCTTGCCCATTTGGTGCAACCTTCAGGGACCGTCTCCCCAGCGCTCCCATAAATCTGTCGGGCCCAGGACACTCCCAGAAATCTGGCTGGCTGGTGGACCCTTAACTCCGTTAATTGGGATCATAAAAGGAATGCTATTGCCTCATTTAATTTAGGGGGTCAGTTTCAGTTTCTCAGTCCCCATCACATTTTCTTAATTTTTGTTGTTTTACAGTTCTCATTGCATGCAGCTTATTAGTCATTACAGAGTAATAAAGATGCTCAGATTCAGTTAATTGGAAAATAGAAAAAGTTATTAGAAAGTAGAAGAAAACAGAAAAGAAGCTTCCCAAGTGGGGAGCTATAGGACTAGTTATAGGACAAGTTAAGTTATGGGAGTTCTGTGGAGGTCTTTTTAAGGGCTCCTGGCATTCCTTACTGGTTGGCAAATGTTTACAAAAACACTAGGAAAATCACAGGGATGTCAGGCTGTCTGAATCTCGCCAGGCATTCTTTGTCGGCCTAGGCTGCAGGACAGTTTTATGGTCGTGGAAAACTAAGAATACTGGGGCAGGACTTTGGCGATGAGACGTGTGTCAGGTCACTGGGGGAAAGAAGAAAGGTTGCAAGGGGAAGCTGTGGCCTCCTTCACGGTCAAGGGTAAGCAAATCTTTAGACCTAGTTGCCTAGTTGCCAGTTGTCTTAGTTTTCCTCTCAGCCTAGACTGCAGGGCAAAGGTTTTTTGTTGTTTTTTTTTTTTTAATGTAGGAGTACTGCTATTTATTCAGCCACTGATTAGCTGATTGAATTGGGCATGAAGTCCACCTTTTTTTTTCATAGTGTTATTTACTTATTTTTCTTATATTTATTTATTGAATCACTGTGGGAAAAGTTACTAAAGCTTTCAGGTTTAAGTCTCGGTCATACAATGACCTTTCCCTTCACCAGTACTCATTTTTCACCACCAAGAACCCCAGTATACCCCCCTCCCACCCCTCCCAATGCCTGTGAGGCAGATGATTTCCACTTAACTCTTCTCTACATTGATTACATGCATTATTTCGACAAAAGATGCACCATTATTGTTTAGAATTTCTCCCCCAACAATCAGAATTGCTGAAAAGGCATTGTGAAATATTTTGTTTTCTATAGCTGGTTATGAGAATCATATAATGATTTTGGATTTCTGCAAAGAGCCAGATAATTACGAGATTAATTTCTCGTAATTATGAGAAACCAATTGGTGTTAATGGCCGTGCCGGAGAGCCGCTTGTGGGGGGGGGGGCAACTCGTGACCTCGGTAGGGCGTGAAGGACGAGCCGGTACCACTCCCCTTCCCATGAGACTGCTGTTACCCCCTCACTGCCTGCTCATACCTGGCTTTCTAATAAGCTCTGAAGCAGTGGCCACCTTGCTGCCAGAAGGGGGAGAGAAAGGCGGAAGGGAGCAACACCTTTTCCCTCCCAGGGAGGCATGGCACTGTAGTTTAATGCATGGTCCATTCACTTTTCTGCTGGTAGATGCCGGGCTCTGGATTAAGTCCTTTTGCCTCTGGAGCCATGGCCGTGCCAGAGAGCCGCTAGTGGGGGGCAACTTGTGACCTCGGTAGGGCGTGAAGGATGAGCCAGTACTGCCCCCCCTTCCCACGAGACTGCAGTTGCCCTGTCACTGCTGGCTCATACCTGGCTTTCCAATAAGCTCTGAGGCGGTAGCCACCTTGTATGCGGTCCAAATGCGTTTCTGCCAAAAGCCGCTGGGTTTCGAGGTTTGTTTCTGAGTCTCTGGGATCATGGCTGTTAAGCAGCTTGATCAGGAGCCAGAGAGGTCGTTTGTAGGCGGTGACTTTGGGTCTCGCTGGGATGGGGAGGAAAGGGCCAGTTCCAACCCCATCCCGTGAGGCCCAAAATGTCTCGTCACTACGGGCCCAAACCTGACTATCCAGTGGCCTCTGGAGGATGGCGGCCACCGGGCCGCTAGGGGGAAGCAGGCGGAGGGACAACACCCTTTCTCCCCCTGGGGTGACCCGGCGACAGTAACCTACTGCGTGGTCTGGACGCATTTCTGCCAAAAGCCTTTGGGTGCCGAGATTTGTTTCTGAGTCTCTGGGATCATGGCTGTT